GGACCTGTGTCTGTAGGGATGTGACTGGACCTGTGTCTGTAGGGATGTGACTGGACCTGTGTCTGTAGGGATGTGACTGGACCTGTGTCTGTAGGGATGTGACGGGACCTCTGTCTGTAGGGATGTGAGAGGACCTGTGTCTGTAGGGATGTGAGAGGACCTGTGTCTGTAGGGATGTGAGAGGACCTGTGTCTGTAGGGATGTGAGAGGACCTGTGTCTGTAGGGATGTGACGGGACCTGTGTCTATAGGGATGTGACTGGACCTGTGTCTATAGGGATGTGACTGGACCTGTGTCTGTAGGGATGTGACGGGACCTGTGTCTGTAGGGATGTGACGGGACCCCTGTCTGTAGGGATGTTCTATTGATAGCTGCGTTGTGAATGCAGAGCGGCCTCTGGATGTGTATTATATGTTTTGTCTGCTCTGATCCCTTTAGGTCTGGATGGGAGCACATCGGCCTCGGAAAGGGAGAGATTAATTAACCAGTTTAATGACCCCAGTAACGAGAATGTGTGGCTGTTTCTGCTCTCCACCCGGTAAGTGAATTCTTCAGAAGGGTCTTGTGCTTTAAATGAGGTATGAGGGTCCCGATCATTACATCTGATAGCGAACAGGAGGTATGAGGGTCCCGATCATTACATCTGATAGGGAACAGGAGGTGTGAGGGTCGTGATCTTCAGAGCTTACAATCTATGAGGGAACAGGAAATTATACAAATGTAAAGTGTTGCGTGGGGGGACGAGCTGCATATACGGTGGCTGGGAATGGACGCGCCGTAGCCTGGATCTGAGTGCGGAGTTATCATTTTTATAGAGGACATAATACTGAGGAAGAAGTCCATGTAGCAGGGGCAGAGATGATAGGTGAGCAGGAAGTGAGGGGATGATGGGTAAGCAGGAAGTGAGGGGATGATGGGTGAGCAGGAAGTGAGGGGATAATGGGTGAGCAGGAGGCTATGAAGAAGCAGGAAGTGAGGGGATGATGGGTAAGCAGGAAGTGAGGGGATGATGGGTAAGCTGGAAGTGAGGGGATGATGGGTAAGCAGGAAGTGAGGGGATGATGGGTGAGCAGGAAGTGAGGGGATGATGGGTGAGCAGGAAGTGAGGGGATGATGGGTAAGCAGGAAGTGAGGGGATGATGGGTAAGCAGGAAGTGAGGGGATGATGGGTAAGCAGGAAGTGAGGGGATGATGGGTAAGCAGGAAGTGAGGGGATGATGGGTAAGCAGGAAGTGAGGGGATGATGGGTAAGCAGGAAGTGAGGGGATGATGGGTAAGCAGGAAGTGAGGGGATGATGGGTAAGCAGGAAGTGAGGGGATGATGGGTAAGCAGGAAGTGAGGGGATGATGGGTAAGCAGGAAGTGAGGGGATGATGGGTGAGCAGGAGGCTATGAAGAAGCAGGAAGTGAGGGGATGATGGGTGAGCAGGAGGCTATGAAGAAGCAGGAAGTGAGGGGATGATGGGTAAGCAGGAAGTGAGGGGATGATGGGTAAGCAGGAAGTGAGGGGATGATGGGTGAGCAGGAAGTGAGGGGATGATGGGTGAGCAGGAAGTGAGGGGATGATGGGTAAGCAGGAAGTGAGGGGATGATGGGTAAGCAGGAAGTGAGGGGATGATGGGTAAGCAGGAAGTGAGGGGATGATGGGTAAGCAGGAAGTGAGGGGATGATGGGTGAGCAGGAAGTGAGGGGATGATGGGTGAGCAGGAAGTGAGGGGATGATGGGTAAGCAGGAAGTGAGGGGATGATGGGTAAGCAGGAAGTGAGGGGATGATGGGTAAGCAGGAAGTGAGGGGATGATGGGTAAGCAGGAAGTGAGGGGATGATGGGTGAGCAGGAAGTGAGGGGATGATGGGTAAGCAGGAAGTGAGGGGATGATGGGTAAGCAGGAAGTGAGGGGATGATGGGTAAGCAGGAAGTGAGGGGATGATGGGTAAGCAGGAAGTGAGGGGATGATGGGTAAGCAGGAAGTGAGGGGATGATGGGTAAGCAGGAAGTGAGGGGATGATGGGTAAGCAGGAAGTGAGGGGATGATGGGTAAGCAGGAAGTGAGGGGATGATGGGTAAGCAGGAAGTGAGGGGATGATGGGTGAGCAGGAAGTGAGGGGATGATGGGTAAGCAGGAAGTGAGGGGATGATGGGTAAGCAGGAAGTGAGGGGATGATGGGTAAGCAGGAAGTGAGGGGATGATGGGTAAGCAGGAAGTGAGGGGATGATGGGTAAGCAGGAAGTGAGGGGATGATGGGTAAGCAGGAAGTGAGGGGATGATGGGTAAGCAGGAAGTGAGGGGATGATGGGTAAGCAGGAAGTGAGGGGATGATGGGTAAGCAGGAAGTGAGGGGATGATGGGTAAGCAGGAAGTGAGGGGATGATGGGTAAGCAGGAAGTGAGGGGATGATGGGTAAGCAGGAAGTGAGGGGATGATGGGTAAGCAGGAAGTGAGGGGATGATGGGTAAGCAGGAAGTGAGGGGATGATGGGTAAGCAGGAAGTGAGGGGATGATGGGTAAGCAGGAAGTGAGGGGATGATGGGTGAGCAGGAGGCTATGAAGAAGCAGGAAGTGAGGGGATGATGGGTGAGCAGGAAGTGAGGGGATGATGGGTAAGCAGGAAGTGAGGGGATGATGGGTAAGCAGGAAGTGAGGGGATGATGGGTGAGCAGGAGGCTATGAAGAAGCAGGAAGTGAGGGGATGATGGGGCAGCAGGAGGCTATGAAGAAGCAGGAAGTGAGGGGATGATGGGTGAGCAGGAGGCTATGAAGAAGCAGGAAGTGAGGGGATGATGGGTAAGCAGGAAGTGAGGGGATGATGGGTAAGCAGGAAGTGAGGGGATGATGGGTGAGCAGGAGGCTATGAAGAAGCAGGAAGTGAGGGGATGATGGGGCAGCAGGAGGCTATGAAGAAGCAGGAAGTGAGGGGATGATGGGTGAGCAGGAGGCTATGAAGAAGCAGGAAGTGAGGGGATGATGGGTAAGCAGGAAGTGAGGGGAGGATGATGGGTGAGCAGGAGGCTATGAAGAGGGGATGATGGGGAGAGCAGCGCCGTCACTCTGTGTCCATTTCCTAACATCACATGACGTCTATTTCCAGCGCTGGCTGCCTCGGCGTCAACCTGATCGGGGCGAATAGAGTGGTGGTGTTTGACGCTTCCTGGAATCCGTGTCACGACGCTCAGGCCGTGTGCCGCGTATACCGATACGGGCAGAGGAAACCTTGTCATATATACCGCCTGGTGTCCGACTTCACCCTGGAGCGCAAGATCTACGATCGGCAGATCACCAAGCAGGGCATGTCAGGTGAGAGCAGAACACCGTACACGTGGCATTGTGGGAGGGGGGGGCGGGGCATCTATGCTGGAAAGGACACTGACTCCATTTTGTCTATCTCCAGACCGCGTGGTCGATGACCTGAACCCGGAGATGAATTTCACCCGCCGCGAGGTGGAAAACCTCCTGCATTTTGTGGAGGAGGAGCCGGATCTCACCAAACAAGACTTGGAGCCCGTTAAGTTTTCGGAAACGGTGCTGCAGAAGGCCTGTATTATGTACCCCCAGCTGATCCACTTTGGAGTCAGATTGCAAAGTGAAGTGACAACACTTCTCCCCCAGTTCCGTTCTATACCAACTCCAGATTCTTACTGACTTCTCTTCTGTGGAAACGATGGCATGCATCGCAGGCTCTTCCTGCGTGCTGTGGTCACATGATCAGTCCCGGTGTTGCAGTAGGATTGCAGGGCACACCCTGACTAATGCAGATTCAGGGCCAATCAGAGGATGGGGGGGTGTGGCCAATTATAAGGATTTAGCTGGCGGTGTGACATGAAGCCTGACTACTAGAAGGGGTGGATCTATGTTTCGGCTGTACTGCCCCGTCTGTATTGTTAGGGGGCCCGACCTTTCTGTAATGACCTGTACTTCTTTCTTGTTTGCAGGATCCCTTTCAGCACGAGTCCCTCCTCCTGGACCGCAAAGAACAGAAGCTGACGGTGGCAGAGAAGAAAGCAGCGAAGCGCAGTTATGAGGAGGAGAAGAGGGCCTCCGTGCCGTACTCGCGACCGTCCTACACACAATATTACCCGGCCCCAGACCACAGCCTGGGCAATATTCCAGCGTTTAGCCATAGAAACTGGTAAGTTGTAGAGGGGGGTGGGGTGGCAGCGGCGGCGAGTGGCAGGAAGGGTGGGCAACAGTGGGGAGTGGCCAAGAGATTGGATGGCGGCGGCAACAATGGTGAGTGGCAGGGAGGATGGGAAATGGTGGTGATTGACAGGGAGGGTGCCTGGGGATGGTGAATGACTATGTTTGTGGGCAATGATTGTGAGTGTCGGGGAGGGAAAGAGGCGGTGGTGGCAGGGAGGATTGGGG